CTTTCATTATCCCGATATACATTAAAGAGCTATTCACAATTAAGGTATAATCAGTGATTTGTCAATTTCAATATGTATGCAAATTGATTAACTTCAAAGATACGCAATTTGTCACAAGTGTGTAAAAGTGTTATGTCTAGACGTTTTATAGATGTCTATGTTTTTAAAGAACGGTAAGGAAAACAATAAGGAAAAAAGATGCAACAGAAAGAAAATTTAATACAAAAGTAAACAAACAAATAATGTGTTTCAGTTTGACTGATCAGTACAGCTGCCGCGGTTACTGACCTATAAACAGGAGACATAGTACCACTCCTTGGCGCCATACTAACCCGGAGGGTGGGGTCCGTGGTAGTGACCCCTTTACACTCCTAGTGCCTGAAATGTTAATGATGATACTTCCTTGTATTCACATGTTCCACACAAGTTTGTTATGCAATACGTTTGGTAGGTGAGTTCACTTTGTCTTTAAGAAAAATAAAAACGGATGGAAAGAGACTTTAGAGATTCTTAAATTAATTTTGTGCAGGGTATTTACAGAGTATTTATTACACGTGTTGTGTTGTGTTTATGTTATTTTAGCATGTATACAAATACCTTTTCCGTTAGAGAGAGAAAGGTCTTCCCAAAAGCATTAACTCCTTTGGCATCAAAGATTGTTTTGCATAATTTGTTAAAGGTCCATTCCAGAATTTTTCATTCATATTCATATTACGATGCAATCACTTTCCAGTTGGGACTTGGGGTTACAAAATTTTGACCTTTAGTCGGCATTTAATTATATAGATAGGATTTGAGAAGTGAGGGACTATTTTATGTGCAAGAATTTAAAGGGATGCGGGACATCAATTCATACAAGTTCTTATCGGAAGGGTCAGTCTCCACGTCCCGCATTGGGATTCGAACCTGAGACGTGGGGATCAACTCCCTTTCACGTGACTCTAGATACAAAAAAAACTCTCTTACTAGTGTGCTACTAGGCGACTGCATTAATAACAAACATCAACATAATATAAGCCATTGACTTAAATTGTTTTCATTGCATATTTATATGCAGGAGTTTTATTTTGAAGTATTATCCCAAAGTAGTTGTCATGGTTTGACACATAGTGCACTAACCGGAGTTGGACACACTTAAAAAAAATAACCCTGATCACTCCTTTGCCTATAGTACATCCAATTAATATCATTTAAAAAACATCCACTAATGCTACCTTTTTAATAAATTTGACAATTTGATATGAATTTCAATTCTTAACCCGTTTGCAGACGTTTAATCTAAACTGAATGAAAAATTTCTTGAAAACTCTTCATACAAGATTTACCTCAAGAAGCGTTTTAATTATTCATAAGTACATTTATGACCATTTGAACACTATGCAAACATAGTTGGGAACTCATTATAGAGATACAAACAAAAAAGGAAGCCTACATTGAATACCTCGAAATTTTGCAGTATGAATAATTTCAAGAATTTCGGAAACCTATCGAAAACCGCGAAAAGGATGTGTCAAAATAAAGGAACAAGATATTAGAAACCAACATTTAAAAATTGACCGTACTTGACATTCAAAATAAACATCAAGTTGTAAATCGGAAGGATACAAAGTGAAATACAAATAGAAAGGTCTAGCGTAATAAATCAAAACTTTTTAAGAAATTTATTAATCAATTTTTCATCTGATTTTTTAAAGACTTTTATAATATATAATATTAATATTTACTAATAATATTTACATTGTGAAAAACTGTTAAAGTATGTTAAATACTTATTGTGCTGGAAAAGTGAATGTCCTAAACGTAGAACATTATTATGATAGTACAGTCGCTGTTGTATGAAGAACTGGAAATTAGTTAAGTATCAGCAATATTCACAACAATTTAGAAAGTTTAAAAAGTATTATTTTTTTCAACCTTCGCAACAAACTTGTAATTAAAGCATAACGGAAAAATCCATCTTCAATTCAGTGTGTAAATAAAGTATTAACAATTGAAATTCACAATTTTTGTACCTATTCATCCATAGATGCTTTGTGCCAAAATTGGCTGAGCGGTTGCAGAGAAGAAGCTGCAGATGTTTAGATGTTATCACACGATGTACACCGCACGACGACAGATGAAACAGATAGCAAAAGTTTACGTACTCAGGTTTACTCACGTGCCTTTAAAAAAGTGAGCAACTGTCCCTTTACCAGGCTCTAGGCACTTTGAAGTGATAGTTGTGGTTCCTTTGGAAACAAGGCTTTTTTTCATGGCAGGCGTTGGCATTATAAAGCTCGCTGTTCAATGATACTGATTGCAGAGCAAAATTCTAAAATTGAAGCCCTTCACAGGTTTATAGTGACGAATCTATATGGGTTAAATATTTTAGAACCAGGGTGAAACGCTGTTATTAGGACCTTAGTAGAACTGGTACAAAATATCCGTTTTGCTTTAGCGTTTTAATTCTAAATCTTTAGGATCGATCACTGTACATTATATAGATGAAACAAATGGAGATAACGAACAGTATTCAAGATCAAAAGTCCATAAAACAATACAAATAGGAGCAGAGCAAACAAGGGCCTCCGAATCATCAGAGGTAGGATCAGGTGCCATGGATATGGATGAGTGAGCATCCCCTGCCGACCGGTCACAACCGCCGTGTGCTCCTTGTCATGATCGGGAAATAACGGAAAAACCCGTCGTGAATTCAGTGTTTAAATAATAGACTCAATTAGTATGAAAAACGTCAGAATGACAAATTGTATTTGCTGACAAGGTCATTGTATCGACCATAGAACTTACCAAACGATTACTTTAAACGAGACTAGCTGCTGATATTCTTGTTTTATCACCTTGTTTGTCAATAATTTACCTCGTTTTAGATATTGTTTATACGTATCATGCTCTTGCGTATCGAATCAACTGAGATATATTAGTATATATAAACTTGTATTCAGGTGATGAAGGTATATTGCTGCATATGTAAGGGAAATTGACGTTTGTAAAGTAAAACTGATTAGAAAAAAATGCGGCACATGTGAAATAAATCATGTAATTGTAGGTATTAATTCAACAAGATGAGTAATTGCTAGTATCAAAAATTATAAAAAAAAGTTTCTTCCGATCTGTACAAATTATGTTTCTTTTTTTGCTTTGCAAATAAATTACTTAGTAATACATGCAGTGCAATTTATTTAGTTAATTCGATCTTTCATCTGATATGAGTTTTTCTGCAAACTCATCTTTCATAGGATTGTGAAACACCACTTTGAACTCACTTAAAATGATGACTCAGAAAATACACACCCATCTATTTCCTTCCACTTATACATTGTTCATGGAAAAAGATATTTAAAGCGTTTTCATTTCCATGTCGCAGTGGCCCATTTTAACTTATTCCGGATTTCATAAAGAAGCGTTTCCCCTTTTCTCATATATACATAAAAAAGAGATTTGTGTCCTTGATTTAAAAAAAAAACTTTAACGTCTTCCAATTCCCTCAGAGAGAAAAATTACAATATTTATCCGATTTTTCTTTTAGTTATCAGATAGCTATTCTTAGTTAGGAATAATGTGAAAATTTAAAATAATTTAAAAAACGCGTTAACAATTTCAATTTATGTCAAATTTTGTCATTTTTTCCAGAAAATATTGAAGAAGATGTGATTGGAGAGATTCATTCGTGTATGTATAAATAAATGTATTATATACCGGGGTATACATTACTTTTTAATGGTTAAAAAGAAATTCCGATAAATTGTTGGAAGACCTGGTCTCCAAAAATCACATAGATACCACTTATGTTTTTAACATTAACTTCAGAGTAGTAATATTCAAGTGTACAATCGGAATGTTTTTAACAAAATAATTTTGGAAATAGCCAATGCAAGGATTTATACCATGTGAAAATCAAAAATTGTAATTTAAGTCATTAAATTATGTCATACAAATTTGTTATTATATTTCAGGTAAGGTAAATACGACGATTAAAGTCTACATAATTTTTTTTTCAAAAATGATCCTCACATTTAAAAAATTTACATAAGTTTCAAAATTTAGTCTATTTTAGGACATGATTCCTAAAAAGCGCTTATATATAGTTTAAAAATAATGTTTGAACTACAACCTGTGAATATAAATCTTATTATGAAAGAAAACAAAAAAATACTCATTATTATTTTTTGATTTGATTTGATAGTATACGAATAAATTATTTACTAAGGCCGGGAATTTTGATATCATAGACAACTTTTCCTTCCATAAAAAGCAATATCGAAAATTTTTACAGCTTAATTTTGAGTCATAGAAAGAAATGATATTGGACTTCAGGATGCCAAATTCTCCATTGAAATTTTGACAAAGTTGCTCGAATTACAAATGTGGGAACTGAATTTTTATTGTACTGGACTTTGAGGTCCATTTTGGGAAATGGTAAGTTTTTATGCCGGAGCGCTGCTTATGATAAAGCGATGATGTCATCTTTTCTTTCAACTTCAGTCATCAATAGATGGATGATATGGACTTATGATATAAATAGTATGCTAAGAGTTATCATTTAGAAAATGCAATTGTTTATACAATGAATTTGTTTGCAAATACAGTCCGTTGCTGAATCAAATGTTGACTAACGTCTTTTTTGTTTATTTCTACGGATTTTTACGAAATTCTGGGCTTTCGTAGATTTTTTCTGTGCATTCGATCATGACAAGGAGTACAAGGCAGCTAGGTGTGAAAGTTGGGCAGGAAATAACTTTTCCCGGGAACTTGGAACTGTTAACACATGTCCATATATATGTGTTTCTTTGTATAATACATTTCGTTTCACTAAACTTTTCAGCCAGAAATTCACATTAGTTTCATTAATTTTCTAAAACCATGCACGCACTTCATCATTACCATCTCATGGGAAAAAAATATCACTTATAATACTGACATGTACTATAATTTGAAGGGTTTTTTTAACAACGATGGCGAATGCGTTGTTGAACTTTTCTTCCTCTTTCTTTGTAAGAATATGTGTGTTTGTATACATGTATGTATGTATAAGGGAAGATATGCACACACTTCTTGACCCTTGAATCACTTAATTGCATGATACTGTTCTATTTATGGTTTAGGAAGAAATTCCAATATCCTAAAACATCTGTTTTTATTGGGAATTATAAATGTTCAGAAATCATTTAAATTCTTCATATTTTCTGGAAAACTGACATCTTAAGAGTTACCCCCCAAAACACGGATTCTTGTCCTTGTTCATTTGTTGTGGTATTGTTGCTTGAAAAGGTAGGTTTCAAAATATTTTTATTCATATACATTATTAATTAATCTACATTATTAAACTGTAAGGAAAGTCTTAATTCTCATTTAAGTATGAGAACTGTTACATTAAATAAATTGAATTTGTTAATCACTACCACTAACTGTACACTCTTATTGGACTAGGTGATGAAAAATTCAATGATGCAATGGTACATTTTGTCGGCTGAAAACCATACACATCATGCGTCGGAGAATCATGAATTGATTCTTAATGGTTCGATTCTAGAGATGAACCAAAACATGGCCTTGACCTTGCTTCCGGTGGTCATATACGTCACAATCATAATGATACTCGGAATCGTGGGTAATTTTGTCGTATGCTACATTTACTTTTTCAGATGGAAGAAGAAAACTGTGAAATATTTTATTGGATTCTTAGCAGCATACGACTTAGTAGCTTCTGTAATTTGTATGCCCATTGAGATAGCAATGCTTCAAAACCCCGTGACCCTAGATGATGCAAACCTCTGTAGATTCGTGCGATTTACTCGTTCTGTGACGTCACTGGGAGCCGGATTAATGCTAGTGGTGATTGCAGTTGACCGATACATGAAAATCTGCAGGATGACAAGTAGACATATTAAGATTCCTTTCGCAAAGAAATTATGTGTGTCAACAGCAGTAGTTGCTTTGTTATTTTCGTGGCCATGCCTCATCATATTCGGCCAGACCAACAGAATAAAATCCCCCATTGCAGAGACAGCATGTTCCATCGACAGAGGATATTCGGACACGCCTTATCCGACATTGTACTACGGCATGGTTTCTGTTCTCTTTCTGATAATATCATTGTGTCTGCTCATATTTTACTCTTTAGTCTTGAAAAAATTGTGCAAACATTCAGCTACAGGAATAAGAAAAAGTAAATTTACCCTTGAGAGTAACAGTAATAATGTATCATCCTCTCCAGAAAGTTTTCAAAATGATTCTTCTTATCTCAGTATAGAAACTAAAGATTGCCCGTCTCCTGTTGATCAAAATTCTGAAAAATTTCTCAAAACAAACACCAATGCAAATGTTTCTACTCTAAATCGACCTTCCACTCAAATTCGAATGAAAAGAACTACGTTTATGTTGTTGTTAATTACACTTATACACTGGGTGAGTTACTTCCCCTATTTCGGTTTGCTTCTTGTTAAGACGTTTAATACCCAGTTCTTGCAAAATATGTCCACTAATGACCAAGTCCTCTACAATCTCGGAATACTGTCTCATTTCCTCAGTAGTGGAATCAACCCCTTTGTGTATGGATTTTTTAGCCAAGATTTTCGTAAAGAGCTTCAAAGGGCTATTCTAACAATAAAAGATAAAATAGCATGTTAAGTTCCTTCAGCAAGATTTTGCAGGAGGATTACAATTAAATATATTCAATAGTAAGAATTTTTCAGAATATTATTTCAGTTATTTTACGTTTGTAACAGGAGAAAGTTGTTATCAACCATATGCAAAAGAGAGCAACCAACGCTGAAGTATCTGAAATAAACTTATTTTGTAAACAGATCTTAAGACTCGTGTTCTTTAACTTACCGATATATGAATAATTCCTTTTTCCCCTTACTTCGACTTGACCTTTGACCCGTGTATATATAGATAAGCTACAATTCTAGCACTTAAAATATGCAGTTACACCTTCGCAAGTCAAAAAATATTGGTCAGAACATTCCCTGTTCAAAAGAGGCTGGTACGATAAATCCCTCCTTAATGCTAAATCTAGAGATTAACTTTGCCTGTTGTCCTATCAAATTTACTTCAAAAATGTTTTCTTATATCTTGGTTGTAAAAAAAACCTTGTGTAAAAGCACTTAGAAATTTTACTAGCTTAATGTTCATCTCCTAATTATAGTATTATTTCAGTTATATGTCATATTTTTACTCTGACACACAGGTTTATTCACAACATTTTCTCATGTGATATTAAACAAGGAGTTAAATTGTTTTCAGCCGTTTGTACTCATTCCATTTGACATTATACTAGTACATGTATATAATGTATTGTTAACGACTCTCTAGTTGAAGGGGTTAGATCTCATAAATCTTTGTCCTAAGAACAATGTCTTCAAGTAATATTTATTAGCCTTCTTATTATTGTTTATATTTAATAGACACATTTCTTTAATGGAAAAATTGAATCTCTAAATAAAGATTTATCCCATGCAAAAACAAACCTCTTCTGAGAAGTTATAATTGGTCATACTGTATTGGACATGCAGTCTCTTTATGTATGCCGCAGTGGAGGATTTAAGGGGGGCGCACCCAGCGCGCGCCCCCCATAAAATTGTCAAAATTAACGTAAATCACAGTCTCGTCTACAAAATGTAAATATGTATGCTTGGTAGATCTCATTTTTACCCTACAAAATCTCTAGAATCCAGGAGCTTCCGGGGGCTTCGCCCCCTGGGCCCCCACCAGGGCTTTGCCCTGTACCCACTGGGGGCCTCAAGGCGGCCCCCAGACATCTTGCCTACTTTGGGCGCCCCCGCTAACTTCAATTCCTGGATCCGCGTGTGTATGGAATCATGTTCTATAGCAATTTTGAAGTATATACATCGATTCCTAATAGTAATACATGAAGTAAACGAAACTGTAAAAAAAATCTTCAAGGTGGGGGAATGAAAAGTCTCATTTGATAGGAATCTGTATAATACATATGATTAATATGATAAGTTTGCCTGTATTTTTTTTACAATGAAATATATGTAGATAACGAACAGTATTCAAGCGCAAAAGTCTGTACAATACAACAATACAAAATAGGAGCAGAGCAAACACGGACCTTTAAAACACCAGAGGTGGGATCAGGTGCCATGGAGGAGTAATCATTCCCTGCCGACCGGTCACAACCGCCCTGTGCTCCTTGTCATCATTTGGAAATAACAGAAAATACGTCAACAATTCAGTGTGTGTATGTATAATTGTCTGACAATATGTTTAAAAAACGTCAATCATCAATTGACTAAATGAAAATAATTGCTGACAAAGTCATTGTATCGACCACATAACTTACGAAAAGGTGACTTTAAACAAGACTGCTGATAGTCTTGTTTCAGCATCTTAATTGTCAATAACTTTAGTTTTACCTCGTTTTAAAAATTATGCATACTTAGAACATGCTCCTGCGTATCGAATTACTAAGAGATATATATAAACCCCATATGCAGGTGATGAAGGTATTTTGCTGCATAAGTAAAAGAAGTTGACCATTGAATAGTTTGAACATATTTTATTGTATAAATACTATACAATTGAATGCTATTAGGTTACCATTAACGTCCTTTTCAATAAAATATCTAAATATGAAACAGATGAGTCAAACTCTGTGGTGCCTTTTATTTCAAGTTCACCGGGATGTATCGTATCGACGTAAGAAAGGAAATAACCATTGTTAATTGACAATACGTCGTCAATATATCTATAAGTGTCAAGCTGAGGGTCACAACAAGTGTTTTCTTCTTTTCACGTTTGAGATTTTGGTGAATTCTGCTTCATATGAATACAAAAACAGGTCTGCTAAAAACGGGGTGGGCGCAATTGGTAATCATGAGAATTACAATATTATATACTGTTGGAAAACCTGGTCACCAAAAAACCATAAAGATATTGCCAATCAACTCAAGCATCTTTTTAATATCAACATCAGAGTTCTTGATTGTACAATCAGAATGTTTTTAACCAAACAATTTTGCAAACGACCAGTGATAAGTTGAGTCAATTTAAGAGTTCCATTTTTTGGAAAAAGCACTTTCATTTATATCAAAAACCTGGACTTTAATTTATAGTAATTTTTTAATGCTGTTCATTTTGGTAAAATTTTGTGACTTCAAATTTTCCAGATTTGAAGTCAATATATGTCCTTGGAATTTTTTAAGTATCCACATCTGATTTACACCACGTCTCGAATACATGTATATTGTTGCATAATACTCCTGAAGTTTCTCATTCACTCCTGTTAATATCTTTTAGTGAGGATTCAAGAGGCTTGGTAGATATTTACTGGAACTCACTATATAGTTTGTAAGGATTTTTGTGAAGTTAGGGAATCCTATATATAGATATGGTTAAGTAGTTCAAATTCATTTTTATAAAAAATATTTTGAAAACTGACAAACTGAAGAATTTCCTCCTTAGAAAGGAAGCTATGAGTATAACTAGGGTTACCACTTGTGGATTTAAATACAGGAAAAAAGTTCCTCTAAAATGCATTTTATATAATGAGCCTTGCAAACAAAGACAATGTTATTACCTGCAATGTTATTACACTGACCAGTACGTACTGATCGCGTAATCTAAAAAATATCTAATTCTTTTCACTTCTGGATTATTAAAAAAAAAGGATAGATGGTTTTCCTACTGCCTCTCAATCGCTTAATGCGCGATTTGAACATATATTTGAACTGATATATTTAATCCATTCCGACAAAGTCTAAAGATCTTCTTTTTTATGTCTGGTCCATCGCCTGGCGTAATCTTCAATAGAATCCATAATATTTATGAAATTCCGACGCCAGTTGAAGGATCGGGGTTCCCTGTATGTAGGACCTTTTAAAATTAGTGACTAATATTCTCACTATATTTACGTCACCAGTAATAACTAGGGATGTCAACGAATATTCGAATACTCATTCGTTAAGTTGATATTCGAATATAAATTTAGGATTCGAATGTTCGGTTTTTTTTTTTTTTGTTTTTTTGTTTTTTTTTGAGTAACATTTATTTAAAGGAAGAGAAATCTGGCAAGTTTGAATTGAAATTGAATCAAAATCAATTGAAAATAGAAATGAAAAGAAATTCCTCTTGGAATATCTTAAGAGTGTAAAGAGTGCATCTATTAAAATTGACTATTCATTTGATCATTGAGTTAGTGGGGCAACAGCGTCTGTACATATAAAAAGTTTATATTGTTGTAAGGACACAATTATGTAGTAAACACATGGATCCCTAGTTCATGTATATATCATTAAATTAGATTATTGTTCTACGTGGTCTAAATTTGAAGGAGTTATCAGTGTAGTCTCTGGTATGAGGATCAATTAATCTTTTCATTTTTCAATTTTTTTAAATTTTGGATGTACACCCTTATTATATTCTATAAAAAAAATTCAAAAAATATAATTAAGATACTTTAATTACTGTACATTTGAAATTCTACATAGAATTTCATTCCAAAATAATGCAATAAATCGCATATCGGTCGACAGGAGTGTAAAGATATATATCTTGTGTATGGGTCATTTTCAAAAAATGTCCAAATTCCTGTTATACAAGCTTTTTTTGAAAATTTTGCAATAAAAATCAAATTTTTTTTTACCCGATGGATTTAACAACAATCTACAAGTGTAGAAAAAAATTAAGTGCGATTAAAAATTGACTTGAATACTGAAAAAAGTCCTTCAACCTGAGTAAAATTAAAGAGAATTGCTTGTGATTTGGCCGGATGTTTGACTTCAGCTCTGATTATTGATGTTGTAAATATAATTAAGCAGTGTAAAATGACCTTTATTGTGTTGTACATGTTTAATACTGTCTAAATGCATGTTAAAATGTGATTGAAAAAGAGTAAGAATATGATTTTTTTAAAGTTAAGTGTGTGTTATTTTGGCCGTGTCCTTGGAGTTACCAGGACATAAAAGTTATCTGTAACAGTTATCTTTCCTAAAGAAACTCTTCACTATCAGCCTCCTTCTTTTGGTCTTGTTCCCGCCAAAATATCATGAGACACTTTACACAGATCTTTTATACCACAGGCACAATATGTGGTTGAAGGCAAGTTTGATTGCAATAGTAATTTATTTTTGAGTCCTAGGAGTTACTTCGATATTGTGATGATAAATTAATTTGCCATTTCTTTGATGCATTGAGCAAGTTTATAACAAAATACCTATCATCTAGGAGCTGTGCTTTATGTTCATAAGTCAGTTATTGCTTTTATACTTCCAATTATTTATATAATAATTCCCTGGTGTTACTGTCCATTTTGTTACTGCAAGAAAAGTTACTCTAAGGATGTATCTAGTTACTCCATGGGCAATTTACATAGAAAATAATTAAAAAGAATGCAAGTTGGAGTCATATGTTTTATTTTCCTCCCTTATTTAAAACTATCCAGTAACTAATTTTGTTTTAAAATGCCAAATTATTTACTAAATGTTTTTATCATTTGAAAATCATATGATTTTGCAGTCTTGGTTATGCAAAGGACAGAATTGGGTAACTCCGCGGACCAATTGAAAAAAAAAAACCCTTTAAATTCCCAATTTTAATACAACATTTGTGTAAAGTTTATTACAATATAAAATAACAGAAATATTTTTATCAAATTGGCATTTATTTTTCATATTATGTTTCCATGAGCTATAAATTAATTCAATAAATAATTTGAGTAACACAAAGGACAATGTTAGGTAACACAATGGATGTAAAAACGATTAAATATTTATGTTATTAATATACTCTTGCATGTTCTTTTGTTTCTGTAGGAAAATATACAACTTTTATTTCTTTTGAATAAATTGAAATATCAAAATTCATTATGTAATGCAATCATATCCCCTTTTATGCTCTTTAAAGTAACCTATGGTAACACCATAGACAAATTCAGTTACTCAAGGGACACAGCAAGGATTAAAGATAGGAAAATGAAACAAGCGTATTGCATATGGAGTGGTAATTGTGTTCATTGTATTGCAGAAAACAAATGTGGTGGGATATTGCAATTCAAGTAACAATAAATAATGAAGTGCTAAAAATATATGATGGTTAAAAATGGTAACACAAAGGAAGTTTTAGGTAACACAAGGGA